CTCACACCAAAAACACGCGCACTACTGATCTATATAAGTGGAGCCCACCTAAGCCGCCTCTCAGTCTCAAGCAACTTTTGAGTCACAAGTACGAAAATGAGTGGCTCACTGTGCTTAAATGGTCAAATACACAAAATTTTGTCAAAATGATGCCTGTCTTGGCGAGTATTGAGTTAAACACAGTCAGTTTTGGAACCTAGTAATTAGTTGGGATTGTAATTTACTGTAATGCAAGTTACAGTAACAATATATTGGATCTGTGCAGTAGTTCTTAAAGTGATAGCAGCCTAATAAACATGCTGTTGTCTGTCTTGTTAATCAAAACAACATTTTTTGTAACTAATTGAAAGCATTGATCTGTATCAATTTTTTTCAAACAAAGACTATCTAATGCTATTTTACATTTGATTACTAATTTCTGTAGTATTTCATATCTGAATATAATACCCACCTGAAAAACATAGGTGCTAGAGAGGGGTTGAATTATGCAGTATTCTGCTTTATGAGATATATATTTTTGGTTTAAACTGTTCTCTGATGGAGGTGAGATCTTATACAATGTACACCTTGCTGTAGGTGATGTTGGAGGACGGCAGGTCCAAAGGTTTTGGCTTTGTCTGTTTCTCCTCACCTGAGGAGGCCACAAAGGCTGTGACAGAGATGAATGGGCGTATTGTGGGCTCCAAACCCCTGTACGTGGCCCTGGCCCAACGTAAAGAAGAACGCAAAGCTCATCTGACCAACCAGTACATGCAGCGCATCGCTGGCATGAGAGCCATGCCCGCCAATGCAATCATCAACCAGTTCCAACCTGCCGGTGGTTATTTCATGCCAGCTGTGCCTCAGGTGGGTTAGCTACAAAAGTCTGAGACAACATAAAATCTGGGATTTAAATTCCATTTAAACCTGAAAAAATTAAATGGTTTTAGAAAATATAGTAAATAAAATTGAGATAATTTTATTTATTTATTTTCCGATATTTGCATTATTTTTACACAACCTCACTGTTTATTATGGAATGCCAATTTGTGTCAAATATATATATATATATTAAATGCATCAAATTAATTCTATCATGCTTCACAGGCCCAGAACAGAACAACATACTATGCACCAAATCAGCTGACCCAGATTCGTCCGAACCCTCGCTGGCAGCAGCAGGGTGGCAGAGGTCAGGGTGGCTTCCAGGGCATGCCCGGATCCTTGCGCCAGCCAGGGCCCCGTGCCAACATTCGCCACCTGGCACCCAATGCATCCGGCCAAGGCCCACGCGGGATCCCCACAGGTGCACAGAGAGTGGGTGAGAAAACCCACTAATGATGTGATCCCCTATAATGACAAACTTTGACTTCAGACCCAGAGGCCTAAAAATGTCTCTGTATCATCTCAGATTAAATTTTTAAGAGTTGCATTGGTTGAAGTAGTTAGGGATTATAATTCAGGTTTTAGTTTATTTTAATGTTACATAATAATAATAATACTAAATAATGTATAATGTATCTATTGGTTTTAGTTCATATTTAACTCATCCATTTGTAATTCCCTTGAATAACACCACAAACTACACATTTAATGATTATAAGTATGTTTGGTGTTCATTCTGTCCTGATCATAGCTTTAATACTCGTTTCCTCTTTCCACTTGCCCTCTTCCTATTTCCCACTAGGAGGCACTGGCCAACCAATGGGTCCTCGCCCTGCCATGGGGGTGACCCCACGTGCCATGCCCCCATACAAGTACGCCACCACCATAAGAAACACTCAGCCTCAGGTAGTGCAGCCCATTACACTGCAACAGGTAATATGCTGATAGATGCAAATAAAAATTACACCTTAGACTCCAAATATTCACAAATACAAAGCTAATCTAGCTTATTTAGTAATAAAATAGCTTCACTACTGAATCGCTATATTATATTTCTCAGCAAGGAGGGGGTTACATCGCTATTTTGAAATAATTAAAGTCTCAGATTCATTGTTAATAGAGACGCTGAACTGGTACGAATCTCACTAGTCTTACTACTTTATCTCTATGTCTGATTCAAAGCGGGCAAAATGCTAGATCTAACGAGCCGCAACTGACAAAAATAATTTACCCTTAAAGATAATTAACTTTAATTATAAAGTTAATTATCTTTAAAAACACTGTTAAATGTAATATTTAGCAAATCTCAAAATTATTTTTTTCTTCCATAATGTACATTATAATGTAATGCCCAATTCATTTAAAATTGTTGCATTTAAAATGATTGATTTTATTTTTAATTTGTTTATACAGAATTGTATGAATTTTAATACTGGCCATTTGTCAGTTATTGTTAATATTTTGCGGTTTATTGTCTTGGTCAGGCACAGCCAGCCGTTCATGTGCAGGGTCAAGAGCCTCTCACTGCCTCCATGTTAGCTGCCGCCCCTCCTCAGGAACAGAAACAGATGCTTGGTGAGATGAAATGAGGAGGCTGTAAGCACGTTCAGCCTTTCTAAACATAGGACGTTTTTGGCCATGCCTAATGAGTATTTTTGGGCAGCCAATTGAGTATTAATTATTTTCTTATTTTACTCTTCCCCATAACCATCTCAAACTGTTTATTGTCTGTCTTGCGTGTGCCTGTTCTGTTTTCACCTTTAGGTGAGCGATTGTTCCCTCTCATCCAGGCAATGCACCCCAGTCTAGCCGGGAAGATCACAGGAATGCTGCTTGAGATCGACAACTCTGAGCTGCTCCACATGCTGGAGTCCCACGAGTCTCTGCGCTCCAAGGTGCGCATCGTTAACTATGATAAAAGCCTCCAGAAACCGACACTAGCTCTGCTGTTATGTGCAATAATGTGAAAAGTCACAAGCTTTTAACAATGTAAAGCACATTGATTGAACCAGGGACATACAGTAATATTCATTCATTTATTAGGATGTATGCCTTGCCTAGCACAGACTACAAATGTAATCTATATATAATTATGGCATTTTATCAGTTAAAAGATTAGTTAAAAAAATGTCATTAGTTACTCACCCTCATGTCGTTCCAAACCCGGTAAGACTTTCGTTCATCCTCGAAACCCAAATAAAGTTATATTTAATTAAATCTGAAATTTTTGTCCCTCCATTTACAGTCTACGCAACTACCACTTTGACCGACGCTTCAAAAAGTTCGTAAAGAGATCATAAAACTAATCCATATGAATTGAATGAATTTAATTTTCTGAAAAGACACAATCACTTTACATGAATGAAGCTCAAATGTGGTGTGTAACACGAGAACGAACATCATTGGTTCTTTCTGAAGCTCAAATGTGCTGTGTAACACAAGAACGAACCTCATTGGTTCTTGCACGTCAAGTGAACATGCTTGAACTTCCATTTAACACAAAATATGTGTGAGTTGATGAATAAAAGTGAATCTGTTCGTATAAAATCGATTGTGTCTCTTCAGAAAATTTGGACGATTTATATGGATTCGTTTTACAATCTCTTTATGAATATTTTAAAGCGTCAATAGACTGTCAATGGAGGAACAGAAATCTCTCAGATGTCATTAACAATATCTTCTACTGTGTTCCGAGGATGTACGAAGGTTTTGGAACAACATGAATGCGAGTAAATGATAACAGACATTTTTGGGTGAATTATGAGAGCCATGAATCTCTGTGGCTATGATGGTGAGGGCGTTGAGGGACTTTGTTTGTGTCGTCAGGTGGAGGAGGCTGTAGCAGTTCTTCAGGCTCATCAAGCCAAGAAAGACGCAACACAGAAAGTGGGAGTCACTGCTACGACTGCAGCCGCAACATCCTGACGAGTAACTTATATTATTATTATCAGTATAATATTATAATTACTGTGCTTATTATCTGCGTTTGTTTAAAATTATTCTGAAAAATCTAAATTGTTTTAATTTGAAATTGTTTTCTGTAGGGTGAAGCTTAAAGACTGAAGAGAGATCATCACCATCTGGTGTCGTCTGGGGGCAACCAATAGGAACACAAAAAATAAAACGTGAAAAAAAAAAGAAAAATACAAAATAATACTTGAACATAAAGAAAACTATTTTGTTGCAGGGTTAATATTTTTTACCTCTGCGATGATTTTTATCACCTAGTTAATTTTAAAAAAGTCAATTCTGTAAGGGAAGAGCCTCTGTATTGTGGCCAGGACTGACTTTTTCTATGAGGAAGTGGAAGCTTGGTTCTTCTGTGAGATGTGTGTTTGCTGCTTTGATTGGACCTCACTTGTCCCATGACAATAACCCGAGTGGTGTGGCACTCTAAATAAAGGGATGACTATTTAAAATGAACTATGGCGTGTTCTTCATTTTTATTTACTTAGCAAAGACACTTTTTATCCAAAATGACGTGCTAGGACCTTGAATAGTTAAATGTTATGTTGCTCAAGGACCAATAGTGACAGAAATGTAAATAAACATTTAATTTCACTTTTACCTGGGAGTGGTCCAAAGCCATTTAACTCCAGTTTGCCTCCTGAACGTTTATGTCTGTCAAACTACTGTAAAAAGATATACATAGAGCTATTTTAATGGGTCTATCAATTATATAATTATATCAATAATCAATTAATGCATATAAGTTAATAAATGCATATTAATGAATATAAATTATTATATGTAAATATTATATGTATTATCAAGATATGAATCATGATCACAAAACATGTAAACATCATCCAATTTTGGTAAAAGATTGATTCCCATTAAAAAAATAGAAATTTTAGAGAACTGTTACATAAAATAAAAACTAAGCTATTTGGACTATTTTTATATTAGTGACTGGTAATTGTTTTTAATATACGTTTTACGTTATATACGTTTTAAAACGTTTTACTTTTATATAGAAGGGTATGTTTGTTTCACTGAGTGATCCAATAAGTAAAATATATATATGTTTCCACTTATCTAGGAACATTCAACTAAAAAAATAACTAACAAAAAAAAAAAAAGTAAAGCTGTTAATCCAGAGCTGAACAATGGACACTTGTGAATGCTAGTGATGTTATTTGTCCTCCGCATCACTAGAGGGCAAGACAACGACAACGAACAAAACAGTCAAAAGTCAAAGGTTACAAGCAAGATGGCGTCGAGTAAACGTGTTCTTTATGTTGGTAAGAAAAACATCAAAATTGTAATCAAAATAGCAAACCCTTCGTTCTTACATTGCGCTAGTTTAACCATACAGCCCCTTGCATGTTTAGGGATGCGATTCCGGTTATCAACTGTAGCCAAGAAAGGGTTAAAATATGAAATATCAGCTTGAATTACACGGTCAGTGAGTTTTAACATGAAATATTAAAATGATTGGAATATGTTTTGCTTTTCTCAGGAGGTCTCGCGGAGGAGGTGGATGAGAAAGTGCTGCACGCGGCATTCATTCCCTTCGGTGATATCACGGATATTCAGATCCCGTTAGATTATGAGACGGGTAACGTTAACTACTTTAAGCCTAGTTCACACTACATGATTTTAAAATGTCGGGCTGAACTGTGCAGTTTACACTACATGACTTGCTCTCAGTGAAATCATGAGTGTTCAAGTTGTTTAGCTGTTCACACCACACAACACAGCGTGATTGATCCACAACAGGAGGTAACTCACTACACGAGTTAATAACGCACTACATAGAGATACAACCACGATCGGATGATAAGAGCATATCATTTGTGACTCAATGAGAGCTGTTTCAGTACTATAGTACGGTCTAAATCCTGAAAATAATCAAACAAATAACGAGTTGACAACAACACGATTCTATCTGGTCTAGAAACCATGTTTTGGCACGAAAAACCACGCAATAAAACGAACCAGAAATGACGCGAAACTGCAGAGAAGAACACAACACGCGAATATGGACGTCAGACAGAAACTAGTGCTGCACACTGTTTGCTCGACGATATGCTCTGAGAAAAAAAAAATGCAAAAAAGAAAGTAAGATTTACCTGGTGTCCTCAACCCATGCGTTGCTATGATTGGCTGTACTCATGACATCACTGAGATTGAGTCGCGCGACTGCTCGAGATATCTAGCATGCTAGATATTTTTCTGAGCTCGGTGACCTGTCTGCGAGCTGTCTTTGATGCGTTGTTGGCTCTTTCACACTATCGGATTGGCGAGCGTTAATCGTCCGCTAATCGCCCGCGATTTGCACGCGATAACACCCTGACTTGTCGGCGACTCAACGATTTGCAAATCGGGCTTAAATCGGGCTTAAAATCAGGTAGTGTGAACTAGGCTTTAACTAATACATAAATACACTCTCATCATGATAAATCAAAAACACACTTTAACAAACTACAGAAACAACTGTACGACTTGAACATACGACAAAAATATAGCGCATCATGTATGCCTCTTTTTGTCCACAGAGAAACACAGGGGCTTTGCATTCATCGAGTTTGAGCTGGCAGAGGTGAATACGGGGCTAAGTCTGTCTTCAATTAAGAACACATCGTCGACTCAATCTAAATAAGATGAAAAATATTAAGCATTAGAATAACTTGTATCTTTTATCATTAATTAATTCTGGTTCACTTCCGTAACCAATGTTGCTTCTCATAGTTTACTCAAGTCATCAAAATGTCACTTTCTCAAAGTCCTGTTTGCTTTTTCCCAGGATGCAGCTGCTGCCATTGATAATATGGTGAGTTGATTAACCACAAATTTATATAGTCTTGTAAAACCTGATGTATGTCAGTCTTCCTCAGAGCTGGAAGTCTATCTATTCGGCTTTGTGTCCTGCAGAATGAGTCTGAGCTGTTCGGGAGAACCATCAGGGTGAACATTGCCAAACCCATGAGAATTAAAGAGGGCTCCTCTCGACCAGGTGAGTTATTTTATTGCTATATGTTGCTATGATAACTCTCACCCATTATGCTGTTAACTTATTTCTTGCATGTCCTTGAAACACAAATCTGAATTACATTTCTGCTCATAGTGTGGTCTGAAGATGACTGGTTAAAGAAGTTCTCAGGGAAGACAGCTGAGGAGAGTGAGACGGCGGAGTCAACTGCGGAATCAGCCAGTACAAACACTCAGGAGGTGGGAATGTAATAATAACATTGGTTGGTTTTAGTATGAAATTATATTAAATGCCTGGCATGTCATGTTTGTATAGCAGTTTATATATATTTTTTGCTCAGTGTCTCATGATCTTTTTAGATTTTACATATTGATATTTATCATTAACGTTTTCTGTTTCTGAACAGGGAGAGCCTCCAGCAAAAAAAGGCAGAACTAACCCTCAGGTCTACATGGACATCAAGATTGGCAACAAACCTGCAGGTCGACTGCGCTTCCTTCTACGAGCAGACGTTGTGCCTATGACTGCAGGTCAGACTCTGTAAATTATCTATTTCTTTACTCGATGTTTAAAGTTCATATTTTCAAAATGGACTGTGAACAATTAAGCCATGCATATTTCATTTAATTTGTTTAATGATTTTTTTAATTAATTTTAAAACTGGTGAAATGACAGACTCTGGTGACGTACAGTTAAAATACTGCATAGGGTCAGTTCATTATTCCGAAGCTTGGCTCTCTGCAATTTTCTGACAGTTGTGCTACGTCACCCTGTAATCTGAGTCATATGTTGTTGTTTTTTCATCATAAAATCATAGATTCGGGCTGGTGGATGATTTATATAACAGCGGATTTGGGTGACATTAGAGCTGATCTGCGCATCTCGATCGCATTAGCAGTTTGCCAAATAAATGTTTGGTGCTTTGCTGAAAAGAGGACTTCTGTTTTGTTTGTTTGTTCTGCAGAAAATTTCCGTTGTCTGTGCACACATGAGAAGGGCTTTGGATTCAAGGGCAGCAGTTTCCACAGAATCATCCCTCAGTTTATGTGCCAGGGTGGAGATTTCACTAATCACAATGGCACTGGGGGGAAATCCATATATGGAGGCAAGTTTGAGGATGAGAACTTTGTCCTCAAGCACACCGAACCAGGTGAGATGAGTGTTTTAAAAGGTTTTTGGGGGGGTTTATTCACAACCAATGCCTGTTTCACACATACTCCGTTTGCCCATATTAACAGGTTATACTTGTAGCATTCACACTGCAATGCCAGAGCTTTGAAGATTAGTGCGGTGCAGTGATTGTTTCCTCAGTGTTTTTTTTTTCTTGTGGTTCACACGCTGAATTAGTTATATACCACTTGGTTCATCATGGTCAAAATGAACATGGACTGGCATGAAAATATAGGCTAGTAATTTGACCATAAATGCATACAAGTACACCACTACACAGACAATTTAATTGGTTATTGGTGTGGATTGTAAGTTAGTTAAAATGTTTGTGATACTAAAGTTATAAATAAACTTAAATACTAAAGATACTAAAGTTATAAATAATAAATGGAATCTAACAGTGAAGCGCACTGCAAACACATTTCGTGTGAAAGCTCAATGAGTGTGTGCTGCTACTGCACAACTAATGCGTAATGCAAACGGATCATGTGTGAATCTGGCTTAAATGTTCAGGATCAGTTAGTATATTTGTTGATGTTGATCTCATGTTCTCTGACTATGTACTCGTAGGTCAGCTGTCGATGGCAAACTCTGGGCCCAATACTAACGGCTCTCAGTTCTTCATAACTGTTGATAAGACGGACTGGCTGGATGGCAAACATGTGGTATTCGGAGAACTCGTAGAGGGCATGGATGTACTCCGGGCCATGGAGGTAAGCTGAGGGAGATTAGATTTGCAGTTGCTTATGACTTATTAAAAAAAAAAGTTGGTAGTCAGTAAGATTAAATGTTTTTGAAAGACGCTTCTTATGCTTTCCGAGGCTTTATTTTGTTAAATGAAAAAACAGTAAAAGCTTTAATATTGTGATATTACAATTTACATTAACTGTTTTATATTAAAATGTAATTTATTCCAATGATGGCAAAGCTGAAAAACATTTTTGATCCTTCAGAAATTTAGAAATCAATCAGGTTTAGTGCTTTAGAAACATTTCTTATTAATGTTATTAAAAACTGATGCATTTTTCAGGATTTTTTTTTTTTTTGAACGAATAGAAGGTTCAATAGAACAGCATTTATGCGAAATAATCTTTTTTAACATAAATTCTTTACTGTCACTTTCAATCAATTTAATGTATCATTGCTGAATAAAAATGTACTGACCTCCCATAGTGTACAACTGTTTTGAATTAATCATTTTTGCCTGTTCCTCAGAATTTAAAATGCTTTGTTTAAAATATTAAAATTACTTTTTTGTGCTGTTTTTTAATTACTTTGTATCTGTACTGTTTTCTCAGGCTCAGGGATCAAAAGATGGCAAAACCAAACAGAAAGTCATCATCTCTAATTGTGGAGAGTATGTGTGAGATCAACATAATGAGTGTGTCTGTCTGTGTGTTTGGGAGTGAGAGAGTAGTTTTTGTAGTACTTTGTAAATATCTAAATAAAACTTTTATACATATCCTTTTCTCCTGCTTCATTGGTTGGTATTTAAAAGTGGGGTAAGGGATATTTAACCCTAAAACTGGCAACGTGACTCACAAGACATCGTTTTTATTGTCTTTTTGGGGGCATAAGAAAGATTTTTTTTTTTTTTTCCATCAAATCCTTTTATCACTTATGACAGCCTGGTGTGTCTTGACTATGCTGGTCACATGATTTGCTTCAAATTTTTTTGTGATCAATTAGTGATACTGTACTTACTGTAATATTTTTTCTTTTTTATTAAACAATTAATAAATGTCAAAATCACTTCTGTCACAAAATATGGAACCTTGAGACTCAGACCTTTCTGACAATGCGTTTTGTCAAGATTAGAAAAGGGTTTTTTGATCATAAATTATGAAACATGATGATGCCCAAAATAAAACCAATAAAATTATTTAAAGTGCTGTTTCTATGGTAACGCAACATCAATTTTCACATGCTGAATCTTGAGTTTGTAAGCTTTTGAATGATATATCATTTGTCAACATTAGATCAAATGAAGTATGGGATATAATTGATATAAACATGCAGTTGCAGTAACAGTTAACAGATTAATGAAATGGTCCTTTTTTATACCCTAATCAGGCAACATGATTCAGGAGCCACAACTCATAAAATCCAAAATATATCAATTTTTAAGATAGGGGTGGGTTTAGGGATCAGGAGGTGGAGTTGGGTGGGGCTACTAAAAAAAACTGGAAAACTGGAGTAGTATGAAGCTGCAGTTAAAAACATCTCAACTTGAGATTCTCAAGGGACACTCCAACAGAGCAGTGCAACATGGTAACTAACATTTGCAAACATATTTTTCTTTTTTTCTTTCTTTCTTTTTAAAACATCATAAGACATGTGCTATCGGTCCTATGGAGTTGCCCCTGCCGAATCCAGCAACATATAATTTTATGATTATGCAAAGTGACTTATAAATGAGTTTTTTTAATGCAATTGAAGACAAAAAGTTAAGTCACGAACACTGTTTTTTCTTCCTTTTTTCTTTACAGCAAGATGATGTTTAGGTGATCATTAAATGAAGTACAGAATTGTTTATTATTGGTGTTTTGTCTATTCTGATTTGTTTTGCTTCGCATTCAAAATATCAAAAAACAGATATTGTAATGTTAGCATGGTAATGTTAATTAGACCATTATAGGTTGAACTGAAAGAAAAATTGGAATTTTAATTTAAAAAAAAATATTTTAAAAAAACATTGTAGCAATATAATATCACATAGCCTTACTATTTTTCTGAAGATAGTTCAATCTGCTAATTGTATCCCTTCCATCAGTAACAATTAGTTTTTTGACACATGCATTAAGCAGGGAACACAAATATTTATTGGATAATTTATTTGAAGACCGTAATATTGCATCCTATTGTTTTTAATTGCATTTGGATAATGCGCTGTACTCTGTGTGCGGGTGTTATTCGATCTTTTGAACAGCAGGAGGCGCTGTGTTCGAAAAACGAGGGGTCTGAGAATGCGGGACTCTCGGTGGGGGACTGTAGATGCAGGCTCCGAGTCTGCAGCTTCATAATATTGGAAAACTGTGCAGTTTCTCAAAGCCTTCATTATAGTGCACAGAAGAAAGAAAAAATCCTGTAACTCGCAATAATGTCCCTGTAATTGTTTTGGAAAATTAAGGTCTTTAGGCGAAAGCGATAACGACTCCACACCATTTCGAAAAATGAAAAGGTTGATTATCCACAGCAGGAGGGTCAGGGCCTCAGGAAGAGCAATGAATTGGGCTAAATCATTTATGGCATGTTGGTTTTTCATATCATTAATATGAGAAATGTTAAATCGTTAAGTAACATGACAATAGGGCTAGGCCTAGTTACAGAAGGTTTCTTTGGTCATGCAGTTGAATTACACTGCAAGAGGCCAATGTGTCTTAAAGTGACGAAATCGAGATAAAATCTTTTTTAATATGTAATATTAGTAGTATTTCAAATGATTTGAAAAGAACGTGACTGAAGTCTGTTGCTAGTAGAGGCGAGTGTACACGGTGCGAGTTCAGTGAACTCAGTTCACTTGGGAGGTCGGGAGATCATAGAGTAGACTGTAAAAATAAGTACTACTAACTACTACAACTACCAACCACATAATCAACATTATTAAAAAAAAGTCCGCAGGTGCTTAAGTGACTACCTCGCACAGATGTCAATCACAGCTATCATGATGTCAGAGCACCGTTTTTATAGCATCACATAACTAACTAAAATCAAACTTATTTTAAAAACGAACTCTTGAAATCACATCAACGTGACTACAATAAATGACAGAAACTATCTTTGGAAAAAGGATATGTGAAGTGTAATTGAGTTGTTAGTTGGTCTCGCGTCTCGTTGAATAACGTGGGGAGGTGGGGTTTATGACCTATACTAGGACCGATCGAGACGTTTTGTCTTGACTTTTGAGGGCTTGTGCGGCACGCTTGCGTGAGATGTGTGTGTGTGAGTGAGTGAGAGATGTATGGCAACTGTATGGTTGATGCCCCGCTGCCCCATCGATCTAGCAGGTGTACTGCTAACGTTACTCAATAAACACCTCAATCACCTCTAGCAGTGATGATCACCGCGACACGTTAACTGGCCTCTACGCACGCAATCGAAAAGGATGACAATTGGGAAGCACAACAAAATATACAGTACACATTATATAACCAACAAGAGTTTGTTGTTAATTGACAACAACAACAGAGCAGCAGCAGCTGCAGACAAACAATGACACTCAAACCCAGTGTTACTCACGTGTGGAGCGGAATCAAGGAACCTCCGTTTCACGCCATCTCTCTCCAGCGCTGAAAAGCTTTTCTAATATTAAGCGAGGCCTAAAGCTTTTGCCCAGTCATAATCCTTAATTTCCCCGTGATTTCTTGAGCCTTTCTCTTTTGTATCGTCTCCTCTCTATTTCTGCAGTCTTCTTCAAATCTCCCTCTTGTTCATTCTATCTACTCCACCGTCACACGCCTGCTAATTTAGATTGGCTACACACGTTTGTTGTTTGTTCGTGTGTCGGTCTGACCGAAGCTATAACGAATAGCCTATGGGGTATGGGCAACTCTTTTGGCATAAGTCAACTTGCGTATGGCCATCTGTCAAAAGCTAGTCATTTTAGTCGATAAAGTTTTAAATATGGATATTTTTCTTACACGAACGCATCGCTTCACTTCACTTCAGAAGACCTTTATAAACCCCCCAGAGCTGTTTCAAGCACTTTTATCACGGATGAATGCGCTTTTAATAAATATAGGTCTTCAAGACATATATTCGTTGGATTTAAATTCAAACCATCTGGTTCTGATGGTTTTAGTGTCATTTGGATTAGCAATTTGGCCTAAATGTATTATGTATACTACTGACTCCATCCTCTAGATGGCATCAGTGCTCCAGGAAAACCACTGCAGTAATAACCAATGACACACCCAACAAGAGAAGAGAGCAGTTAACCGTATGATCAGATCTCTCTACAATGAATATTTCATTTTAATTATTATTAGCATGGTGAATAATGTTCGAGGACCTGAGCTATTAACATTGTGGGTTCAATCCTAATAAGGAATGACTCTTATGTCAATTTATTAGCATGGCGCCCTCGAGTCAGGCACTTAACCTCAGATCAACGCTTCTCACAAAGTGTAACAGCTGAATTAAACATGTTCTGCTTCCTCAGAGTCAGATCCCAGAGTTGCATTTAAAAACTTGGTGAAAGATTAACACAGCTAAAATAATGAACCAGGAAACCAAAAGATATTTTATTGCAACACAGAAACTTTAGTTTGTGAGATATTAAAATGACATAGAGACACTAAAAAGCCATCAAGCCATTTGTTTTAAAAGCATATTAGCTTTAAACACATCAGCAACTCAGCAAGCAATGCCCCACCCACACACCACCATGTGACACTTTGGTTGCCTTGCCAAAAGCATCTTGATTTCAGCAGAATATCTTTTAGTTTTACAGTTACACAATATTAAAAAAAAAAAAAAAAACTAGATCACGGGTTCTCAACTCAGGCCCTCAAGATCCACTTTCCAGCAGAGTTTAAGGCCAACCTGGGTCAAACCCTCCTGCCTATAACTTTTTAGTAATCCTGAATATTAGCTTGATTAGGGTAGGAACAAAACTCTGCAGGAAAGTGGACTAGGATCAGAGTTGAGAATCCCTGTTTTATATACTTTAAAGCAAACAGTTGGAGAGCATTTATAGTTAATTTGTCAGTGACATTGAGATGTCTACTGGAATGATGTTGTCTATATTTGTTCAGCTTTGTTAAAAGTGATTAAAGCACATAGGGTTAAGTTAAAAAAAAAAGTGAGCAAAACATTTACATTCAAGTTCATAATCATACCAACATTCATGCTCATAATTCAAATTCCCTTAAGTTTTTTTCAACAGAATTGCACTAAAGATCCACATCCTCGAACCTCATATCCTCCAGAAATGTCTAGGGAAATACTGAAGCGTGAACAATTATATCTCAGTAAAATACTCCAGGATGCTGAATATCACAATGTGTCCACACAGAATGCAACATCCAAGTTATAAATTACATGATGCCTCATCACATGCCATGAATGCAGTATGAATGTTTTGTTTTGTGATAGTGTCTGTCTCTCATGGGCCTGAATTCATAAAATACAACACAATAAAGATAATATTTTCTCCCATCTGCTCAAGATTTCAACCAAGTGGGTTTCTCAGGGATAAATGTTAATGTATTGTAATTGTAGTCTTCATTAACAGCAGGCTTAATTGCACTATGAATCTAAATTCATTAATGATTTATACATATCGCATACAGAAAATGATTTAGTATGAGAATGTAAATTATCTTAATGTTTGTCTGCAGCTAAATATTAACTGTTATCTTTGGCAATGATTCAAAACATTTTTTTATTATTTTGCCTTCTGGACTTTCCTTAATGAAAGTGTCAAAATATCACCCAGAAGACTCTCAGGAGTAAAAAGCACTGTGCACGCTGTAATGCAAATGCACAGGGTTGAATTCTAAAGTAATATTTGAGTAGCAGCAGTTACAGAAGTCAAGTGCTCTGTGCTCTTAATGTTTCCCTAATGTTACTCTGTTAGTAAAGGTTATGGCTTCTCCTTCAGCTGCTTTAGAATATTTTTCTTTTTTTACCCTGGCTGTAGCAAAGTTCTATAATTAAGAGCTTTTTTTATGTGGTTCAACAATGTTTTATATTTATATTTTATATTCAGGTTTTTATTTGCATAGAACCTGTTGGTAGGAAACAGGGTCGCATTATTACAAAATGTGCTTCAGTTGTTTATTTGTGCTATTCATTGCCATTTTAAGGCTAATTCACACTACACGATAGACGACCAACAGCAACAGAAACATTTGTTGGGTTTAGTCGTGTTTTCGTAGGTTTAACTGAGTGTGTCAGGTTGCGGAATGTCTGGTGATTGTTGGTACTGGTCAGCATCTGTTGGTGCAGTATGAACTAGCCTTTATACAAATGGAGGTTTTTGTTTTTTTTTGCAAATTCCTGTGGCAAAGTTCATCCTACATTACTATCCGATACAAATTGCACAAAACAAATGAAGGATAAGACTGCACAAATGAGCTATAAATGTCCGACTTTCTTCGTCTCCCAAAGTTGGAGTGGGGCTATGATTTTAAGGCGCCAAACATACATTTGTTTTTCTTACCATGCAAAGACACACATTCCAGTTTCAAGCACTACGTGCTGGCTCCTTGAACTTCTTTGGAGACGATGTTTAATCTATAAATATTGACCAGGCATTCTCTTTCACAAGCGACTCCGAAGGGTCATCAGAGGGATGAAATATCCTACTCATGCAATTCTTCCACCTCTCTCAGGCAAACTGAGAATGAAAGGGAATAAGATCCCTTTGGCCTCCACAGGTGCTTTTAGAGACTCGTCTTTGAAGCGACCTCCATCGTCTTCCACAACAAACTGAAGAGTCTGAGATTTATTCACACAGTAGATGCAATTATCGATGACGGCGCATCGAAAAGGCAGCATGCAGCCCTGCTGCTGGGAGGCACAGTCGTGCCACATCTTCACGATGGTGTTGTATTTAAAGACGCTGATGCCCTGTTCGCGGTTGACGTCGAATCGGTAGATGAAGCTCTTGAGAGCCACCATGTCTGTGGATTTTTTCCTGCTGTTGTTGTACGGACACTCCTGCCATTCGTCTCTCTTGGGGTCATATTTCAGCAACCGATAGAAAAGAGAGCCTCCCGATACATACAGCTCACCGTTACACGTAGTGGCTTCGTGAGCCACCGCAAATGCCCCTTTAGGTAGAGGAGCCACCGCCGTCCAGCGGTCCATTCGAGGGTCATACTTCTCCACCGTGAAAAGACATTCACCGCCAATGGCGTACAGGTTCCCATCCATGGAGACGAGCTTGAGTTGCGATCGTGCTTGGTTCATGGGTCGGACTTCGCTCCAGCGGTCTGTGATGGGATTGTAGCAGAACACTTTGTCTGAGACTTTGCTTTTCTCCCCAGTTCCCCTGATCCCGCCGGCCACAAACAAGTAGTTGTATAAGGTACAGATCCCACAGCCCCTGGTATTGATGTCGTCCGGCATGACGGTCAGGGTGTGCCAGTCCTTACTGCTCGTGTTGTAGTAGTAGATCATGTGATTGTCCTCAAAAGACGTGATGGAGAGGGGACTCTGGGGACGGCTGCTGTTTCTGCTGGGTGGTCTACTTCCAACACGTTCAAACACATCGTTGAGTTCCGCCACCATCAGACACTTGTGGCTCTCCATCCGTTTGCGCAGGATGAGATCTCTCTCTGAGCCCGTGAGGCGCCCGTAGACCGCTGGATCTCTCAGGACCTGGAGATAGTTGTCGCTCATGAATCGATAGGTGGTTTCTTTCAGTTCATTTAGTCGCTGCTTTTTAGCGATAGTTAGGATTTCATAACAGTTCTCGGGTGTGATCTGTGTGGATACAGTATCAATAGCAGCCTGTACCGCACAGGGCATCTGCAGGATCTTTGCCCCTGTGATGACATCCACAACATCAGCTTTGCTTACGTTCATCTGAGAGGTGTAAACATAATCTACAAGCACCAATAAAGTCTTGTAGCTCATTCCTTTTACCTTCAGGATGTCTCTAGAAAGCCTGGCTTTGAAATAATCACTTTTCTCAGCTAATACTGATTTGTGCACTTGTATTTTCTGTCCGCCCACCTCTATGACTAAATTCGGCTCTTCTTTTGCCGAGAGAGCTTCTCTTACTGCAGATCCACTCTGCTTTAGCCCTTGGCTTGATTCCAGCCCAGTCTGTCCAAATGATGTTCTGTAGCGGGTCTGATCTGCTCCTTCTGAGGAACTTATAAAGCATCCCAGGGTTTTCTCAAATGACCTCGTTTCATGGGAGCTTGAATATGAATGATTTCTGTCCTCAGTGAAGGAGACATTTTTAATGTCAAACTGACTCCGAACAACCTCCCCATCTCTTAGAGCATTGGATAATTTGTCAATTTCCTCCTTGTTCTCTGGTCTGAAGCACAGCGAGGGTGCCAAACTGCAAGATACCTTTGTTCCATTCGTTTCTTCTCTAATATTCCCTTGACTTGAAGCTTGACTCATATTTCTTAAACTGAGGTCTAGATTTTGTGCTCTTCTTGAGTCCAGAGACTGAATGTGCTCTTGAAATCCACTGTCGCTAGATACAGCGTCTTCTGTGTATTCGGCACCGTAGTGTCCCAAACTCCTGTTGTCAGTCAAACCTCTTGACTCAGATGTATTCCAAGTACCCTGGAGATCCTGCAGTATTTCCATGCTGGGGATACCCGTTTTCCCCAAAGATGGGACATTGTTGTTGTTGTTCCCTTCAGCGGGGATAGGTGGTTCTGGAGAGTCGGGGTTTGCAGCGTGAAATATAACGTCTGCTTGTACTGTGAACATGTTTCTGTCTTGCAGAGTGTTGTTCATCTTTCTGTATTTGCGGCACACAGTCACTCATTTAGTGCTTTCAGAGCAATAAGAACAACTTAATTTGTCAGAAGTTTCTCCTTTGCCGACTGTAGAGCTAAATTAATCCCAATGAGCCTCATGAATGACTGGCAGATCCTAATTATTGGGGTAATGATATTTCAGAGACAGCATTGTTAGGAATGTTCTAGCCAGACATGTTTTGTGTTTGTTCCGTCAGAGTACATTTCACCCCGGTAAACAAGAAAAATAAACCAAGTTTTCTTATATTTAGAGAAGATTGTGTTCTCAGCTCTGGGTCCAAACCTTGCAAGAAAAGAAAACAATGTGATTAATTTACATAATTACAAACATTCAACTACAATTTATATTCCTCAAACGAATTATCTTGTAGGCTAATCCAAATTATTAGAAAAAGTGAAAATGGTAAATTAAAATTAAACATATCTTCTTTTTGGGGGGAAGGCTCCGATTTATTTCTTCTAACAAGGCAAATTATCTGTCTGTAGCAATGACAGTTACATTTGTAAGAATGACATAATGAGATACTCCACAAATACTCGCAGATCAACACCAAAACGCTAAGACACTAAATGCGCATGCGCACTATTCGCAAACCTACTGAAAGCTTTAAGGATTAAATCTTAAAGACGTCGAGAAACGGTAATATCCATTAGTACCTTAAGTTAATATTCTGTCATCATAGTCGTTGTATGACCTGTTTTATAGATTGATAAACAAATATGCAAAGGCAAATAGAGAAATTATTGATAACGCCAAGAAATAGGTGAGGCAGTTTCAGACAAATAAAGTAACACTAATCTTTCAAATAATAGTATTGAATACATTATAAATTATTTAATATACAGGGCCCTTCTAGAACCCCAGTACGTGATAATTGACAGCATTTCTTTGAGCAATTCCTTACACAAAAGCGCTATGCAAGTCAGTGACTGACGTTAGATCCAAATGCACCGCGCTGCAGGGAGTCTATAACGTTAGACATTTGTGTGAGATTGTCTTGAGTTTTTCTAAATGTAGACCACTTACCCATTCACGTGAATGTACTATCCATCTCATAATGTAGAAAAACGGCAGTTCAGCAAGAACTTATCCTCCTCGACCAACTGTATGCGCCTGAAAGCCTCGACTGGAGAATCGGCGTCCACGAAATATCATAATTTATGCGGACGAAACGAAATATAGTCCACAGAAGCCACCCTGTGCTCCGGATCTGATCGACAACATCTCTCTACCCTCGGGGTGCTGCAGGATTTGGATTTTACTGTTAACTGAGAGGTAGTTATTGATCTAAACCACACCCCCGTTTGTGTTCACCCTCTACAAATCAGCTGCTGATCAAATCCGCGGTAAGCGTGCGACGTTCCTATGGTCTCGACGTGACGCGCGCGGCCAAATGAAGGATGTTGCGCAAACGTCTACGGGAACTCCCAGCAGCGTGAAGAGCAATTGAACGTTTATTGCATAAAAAATACTGACGTGCCAATTTTATTTAACGTTTTAAAAACCATTAAAGCTGCAATTAAAAATGCTGTGATTTTCTACAGCAGCAGAGTAAGTGGCCCAATCCGCAATGACAGTGCTTTGTTAAAAAAGAAAATAAAAAAGTAATTCTATTTAAAAAGGCAACAAAATAGGAATATTTGTCATTTCAGGCTTTAAATTGTCTAGAGCAGATTGCCTTGATCTGACCTTCTCAAATGTTTTGAAGTTTTATGGGCGCATCCTGATATTATGGGCTGGACTGCTCTTCAAAATAGTTACTATGGTAACCACTCAGAGAGAGCAACACATCAGAGTTAAGACTGTCTGTCAGCCTGACAGCACATGGTCATACTGAGATGTCACTACTAGCCCTTTAAATACACACATCAGCTGTTCTCAGTCTGAAGGGACTCAAAAATATCAATGAGCCTGCAAAAGCTGAAAGCATCACACACACACACACACATATAAGTGTGGCATCCTGTGATTGAGGAAGTGCAGGGACAGCCTCCTGCAGAACAACTAAATTCCACCCCTTTTTTTGGAGGATGCATATTGCACTATGAGTACTTTACATCTCAAACATCAGAAGTTTCATTTCATCCACTATAAATATGTCAAAAGTAGATATCAGATCAAAGGTTTTTACAAACACTTAAATATCAGCAATTTTCATTTCTGTTAAATAACTGTAAGTACAAGAATAAAAACTAATTTACTTAAGCATTTTGCAAAATGATTACTTTTAGGAGTTGTCTTTATCACTTTTTTCCATTGTGCAAAAAATCTGAATTTCATATAAATATTAAAATTCTCACCAAGTGCATAGATCCAAGTAAGAATATCAAAGTATCCAAAGAGCAACCATCACAGTCAAGGGATAGACACTACTTTTTTTTTTAATTTCCTTTTAAGGAGACACCTTGCAACATGAATATTTCATACATTTTTATCTTTTTAAAAATATGTTCTTTCCTTCCTTCGTTCTTTCCATGTCCAGGTCAATTTTACCATAAGCTCTAATATCAGTGTTGCTGTTAAAGTGGTAAGCTGGTAAAGTGCATTTCATAGAAATCCATCCAACTCCTCTTTCAACCTCTATTCTATTTTCTTCATGGGTCATTCCCTTATGTATGAGCTGGCAGTTATAGTCCATCAAAAGGAAAAAGGAAATAAAACAGGCCAGTGGAAGAAAAAAAACAAACAAACAAAAACATGGTTACCTAGTACACTTGCACAGATATACAAAGAAAGTTGGTTAAAACAATGGTATATATTTGTTAAGTCAGAAATACATATCACAATGTGTCAATATAAAGCTTTTCCATTACTTTAAATATCGATAAGCATAAACCTTAAATTAGAATTATGGAGGAACACCATTTCTCTTTTAACCAGTAACAGTCGACACCAACTTCACTTTAGCACCCAAAAGAATCTCTGGCCCGCCAGAGAAACCCATACAAGTCATTCAGTCACAGGTTATAGGCAGTCTGAAGGCCATGACACCTCAGATAAGCTGCTGACCTCTTTTACAAGCACCAGCCTAGTGTTGAGATGCTTTTCACAATGCCTTCAAGAAAAACAACTAAAATTAAATTAATAGCTGAATAGAGTGTTTAAAATGAGACAAATGAAACAGATTTCTGCTGTTATACTAAAGCATGGCTCGATTTTTTTTTTTGCTAAATGTAATTATTTAACAGTTAGACCTGAATCTTTTCACACTGCAGTGGTACTGACATATTTTCATGAATGTATCTTTTAATTTAGGCAAATGTGCCAAGTGGTAAAACCACTAATCTATATAGAATGTCATGTCATTATATAGATCAATGGGTAAAACACATTTCTCTGATGCATGACCAAGTACTTTGTGTTCCAGGAATGAGCTGAACTACCATCTTTTTCCCTTCATTCATGAATCTATTTGTCCCTGTCAGCCCATGACTGAAAGCTAGGTCAGTCTAGGGAACTGCTCTCTCTGACATGCAATGCCCTGGAAGGTAGACACACAGTAAAAGCATCATTAGAAAAGTGGAAAAAGAAAAGATTGATGGAGACTGGTGTTTGTGCAGCTGCATCCAAACTAAACCCTGATCCTCACCGTTGACACCTCCATCTTTCTCCCTCACAGGTTGGGCAGTGGTATTTGCCACACCATAATGGTGGACACCATCTCCTCATGCTTAGACTGTTTTGTTTTTCTGCTGATTCTGCGGTGTCCCAGCCCTCCAGACACCACCAACAATGAGCTCACATTCGCTCTCTCAGTCTGCTTGGCCTTCTGGAAGTGCGCTGGCTCGTTCAGCAGGTCATATATCGCACCGTCTTCTGGCCCGTGCTCTAAAGAGCCCTGAGACAGAGCCAGAGACCCACATGAGGAGGACAGGGAGTCCTGGAGAACTGGCGCATGTGAGGGAGAGCTCAGCCCAGAGCAGTTTTCGTCCAGTTGGGTTCCCTGCACCTCCTGGGCCCCAGGCTGGCATTGGCTGGGTGTGCTGGAGGTAAGAGTTGCCATGGTTGCTTGGGAGACATTACACACTGCTGTTGCCATGGTGAGAAACTTGACTGGGCCATGGTGAGCATGAAAAGAGACCATTCCTCGACCTGGAGTGAGAGATTCAAAAAAAAAAAAAAAAAAAGTATTCTCAAGCAGAATAAAATGTAAAAATATAAAATTGAAATTTTAGAAGACTAAAACATGTAGTAAAATATATTTCTCTTCATAAAAACAAAATATATACGCAAATGTTAATGTTTTAAAAAAACAGATACAAAAAAGTGTTAATTTGGTATAATTGATATTCTATTACTATATTTATTCATATTTTAAAACGTTTTATTAACATTTATTTAGCTTTAATTGATTTCACTTCAGTTAGTTGTCAAGATTCATTTAAATAAACTATTTTTAATAGTTTTAGTTAACAGTAACAATACTGGTCATAAACTCTATGAACAAAGGAAATGGTTATCAAAAGCTGAGACAGAAGGTATTTTCATTGTTGGGTGTGGTTTGTTCCTGAACTTGTGCTTGAGTTGCAGTTTTCGAAAGCCCTAAAGTACTACAGACTTCCAAAATTACTACCCAGAGGGCCCTGAGTAGCCAACAAACATCTGCCATTAACACAATTCCACAGCTATGCATTAAAAACAGATGCAAACAGACTCTTTGCCAGGTTTTGTCTGATCAGCGTGTTGCCACGTTGGTATCTGTCGGAGCTTGTTTTCATCAATTGAACACGATGAATCGGCACTTGCTGGGTCTTGGCATTTCTGAGAAATGATTTACTGTAATCGGGTGATTGTCCACATTTGTCTGTGCGGTGTGTATTGGCCTTAAAGGGATAGCTCACCCTAAAATTAAAATTAAGTCATCATTTACTCACCCTGGTGTTGTTCTGATGCAGTATGACGTTCTCTCTTTTATGGACCACAAAAGGAGAATTTATTTTAAATGTCTCACTCGTCCATATAATGCCAGTAAAAGGCAAACAGCATTAAGGTTGTTTTCACCCTAAAATGACCTATCCCTTTAAGTCCTACACATGGCAGAATGAATTAAACCCACCTGTAACTTTTGGGATGCCCTGCAGTCTGGGCACAGACAGGGCCACTGTGACCCCGAGATTTGTCCCCACTAACAGCAGACCATGACTGACTAACAGACTGCTCACAGAGACTCTCTGCTGTCCTGAAAGTGGAAACACACATGTGAAAGAATTAATGTATCACTTGCACTGCAACCTAAATCAGAGAAAATGCATTCTAATAAACACTTGTGGCAAGCATTCATGACTAGAGGTACTTGGTGAAATATCCACCCAGCGGAATAACATCATCATCCACACATGCTAGGCTGTGTGGGTAGAAACACGACAGCATGTGTGGGTAGGTTACTATGGGGATGATGCTGAACAGCAGTTGGTTTCTTAGGAAACCTGAAACTATGCGCTCTTAGAAATGAGAGAAAGGTCTCATTTGAAAGAGAAGAATGACAAATGTTCAGATAATTGGTTATACAAACAACTCTGAAATTATTCCAGTTTATGTACATGTTCATTGTGTTTGACAAAATGAATGAAATAAATGATCAAAAGTTCTATTTTCCATAAAATAGCTACTTAAAGTCCAGTCCAGTCACAATCTGGTGAATGATATTAAATATTTTTCAAAATAATTTAGTAATTAAATAAAAGCAATTCAATGTTTAACACTTTTAAGCACATGAAATGATGCAGAGAAAAATATCAAAGAAAAAATCTAAAATTGTTTTATTAATTTAACAGTCCCAAAGTTGGTTGGATGGATAGAAATATAATATATAATGTATCCTTTGGGACAGGTATAATTCATGAAGTTATGAGGGACAATTGAGCGATAAAGGGATACAGAAAGAACAATAGTGTACTTGCAAAGAAAGAATGACATCAGGCACAAATAAGTTCTTTTGTCACTTATTACACATGAGGAAACAGAACAACTTCAGGCAAAAACGAACAACATAAAACTTGATCCTGACTATACTTTCACAGTGATCTGTGGGTTAACCATCCTCCAAACACCTGAATGGTCAGAACCAGACTGAAAAGTCAGAGAACAATGTCCTATTCAGCAGTTCCAGTGCTCACTGACTCGTTAGGAAAGGGTTGGCTCATATTTCTGAGCATCGCAGATCATTTCATTAGTCATGGAAACTGCTCTAATAGGGAGCCATTACTAAACAATTGAGGAATGAACGAGTTTGCAAAAACATTACTTTGCACAGTTTTGAAGTCCTGAATATTAGCAGGCCAAATATGTGACAAAAAAACGTTTCATGGGCCACTTTGTCAACAACTGTTCAGTCCACCTAATGGCTGACGGAGAAAGACCTAATTATCTTAAAGGAGTAGTTCACTTTTAAAAAAACTTTTGCTGATAATTTACTCACCCCCATGTCATCCAAGATGTCCATGTCTTTCTTTCTTCAGTCGAAAAGAAATTCATTTTTTTGATGAAAACATTCCAGGATTTTTCTCCATATTATGGACATCAATGGTAACCAAATGGTTCAAGGCTCAAAAGACAGTTTCAGTGCAAACTGCAAACTGTTCAAAGGGCTTTAAATGATTCCAGACGATGAATAAGGGTCTTATCAAGAGCCGATCGCTTATTTAAAAAAATAAATAAACAA